CATTTTTTTTATTATCCCCCTCATTCCTAATTATATGACTAATGTATCTTATTTTTTTCTTTTTCTGTACATTTCAAATATTTCTCTTGAAGTTTTTGCTAATCTTAGTACTTCTTTTGTTTTCCTTTGTGTAGAATATTCTTAGCAGTTGCCTATAGAGTAACATCATATTTCAAAGGCCTCCAACCTAATTCTGAAAGTGTCCATCTGACGCATACAATAGTCCTTGCCATATAAAGCCTTTCAGCAGCCTCTTTTCTCGAATACAGTATAAGTTTGTCTCTTTTCATTAGGTCTTTTAGAGTACCGGCAATAAATGCTGTTTGCGAACAATCTTCCTGCGTTTGAGGACAGACGATTTGACTTAGCGCTGACCCACATTGTGTTCTCGGAAGAGGTTATAAGAAATAAGTTGTCAAAGCTAAAGGTTTGTAACGGCAGCATCACACTTGCATTTCTAATGTCAAATTTTTCATTACTATCAAAAAATTTTCATGAATCGTCGGCGTTGTCATTGGCTGTTTGTCAAATAGTACAGACAGTCTGCACTGACAACTCTTACGACAACTTACAGCGGCGTCACTCTGGCATTTTTTCGTAATTTTTTTTATGTCAACTTTCAGAAAATCTTAAAACTTTTTGTTGTGCTCCGTCAAACATGCGTTTAGAACCAACTGGCTCTGTCATGTTGTTATTCCCGCTTGGTTAAAATGTAAACCGCAAATGACATTTTCTTACCTCTTTAAAATCATGAAATTAAACATAATAATGAGTAATGTTGGGAAGAAGAGTAATAATTTTAGCTTTATATTTTAAGTAAAAATTAGTTTATTTTTTATAACTAAGTTGTCGTACAAGTCTTCAATGCAGACGGCCTGCACCATTTGACAAACAGCCAACGACAACGCCGACAATTCATGAAAAAATGTCGACAATAATGAAAAACTTGACAATAGAAATGCCTGTGTGACGCCGCCTTTACCGGAGTATATATCGACAATATATACCTAGATTTTGCCATAGCTTTCAACAGCATACCCCATGAAAGGCTAAAAATTAAACTGGAAGGTCACGGGATCTGGGTAAGTATCCTAGTGTGGATCGGAGAATTTCTGCATAATCGCAAACAGTGTGTGTGTGGTGATTAATGGTACAAAATCGCCATGTGTTTTGTGTACCTGTGACAAGTAGGGTACCACAGGGTAGTGTATTGGGCCCGTTGTTGTTTGTTTGTTTCATAGATGACATGCCAGAAGCTATACACTCCTCCATACAAATGTTTGCAGACAATGCCTATTTATTTGGGGAAATTAAGAACCAAACAGGCTGTGAGCTGCAGAAAGATCTCTGAGCTTCAGCAATGGTCAAAGAAATGGCTGCTAAGATTCAATGTCACAAGTGTAAGAGGCTGCACCTGTGACATACCAATGGGAAAAGAGCATATCGTGTCCCAACAGGATGAAGAAACTGCATTAATTGAGATTGAATGCAAAAAAGACCTGGGTGTGTATGTTGACAATGAACTGAAGTTCTCAGGCCATTGTCAGAAGAAGGTGAATCAGGCAGCAAGAGTATTAGGTATATTATAAGAAGGTTGTTCAGATATCTAGATGATCCGTCCCTCGTAACGATCTTCAAGAATGAGGTGTTTCCCCACCTGGAGTACTGTCACCCGCCTGGTCCCCGAGATATGCTAGGGACTGTCAATTGATTAAAAATGTCCAAAGGAGGGCCACCAGACTGGTGCCTGCACTTCGGCTATCAGAGGGTTAGAGCCACTGCAACTGCCTAGCTTTTACTACAGACAGGCAAGGGGTGACCTAATTGAGGTGTATAAACATCTCAAAGGGCACTACTCAGTCGAGTGTCCATACCTGGAGCTGGCGGATGCCTGTCCCTGAAGGGTCACAGCTCAATGTTGAAGAAACACTTGAGTCCAAAAACTGTGAGGGCAAACTTTTTTGCTGTGAGAGTTGTGAACTCTTGGAAGAACCTGCTAATGAGTGTTGTGATGGCACGTGTTTGAGCTGTTTCGAAACCAGACTTGACCAGCACTGGAACCAGTGCATTCCTAGTACTGTACTTGCCAACAGAGATGTAACCGATAAAAGTAAAAAGTAAAGTAAAGTTTGCTTGCTCTATTCTTGTTGTGGGTAAAATGCGGCAAAAGTGGCATAGAAGAAAATAATTTTATTTTGTCTGAAATTATCATTAGACACGAGATAAAACCCTATATCTAACTATGTCCTCTACAATAAATTGGCCAACATATAAAGGAAAAACAAAATTTTGTCCAAAACGTTGTGGGTGTTCCTAGAATGAAGAAAAACCCAAAACTTCAAAGTTTCAGCCTTATTTTCGACATTACAACAGTATCATTAGCAATGATACTCTTATGTTAACTAGCAATTCTGAAGAGTGGAATGTTATTAGTGCTAAATGCATTAAATAAATAAATGGCTCATAAAAACTAATGAACAGTCAGCATTGACAGAAGTAGGTATGTCACTCACTTCTGCATGGGTCTTTCAGAAATCAAAAGACAGGTTTCTGTTCATATAGAATTCGTAGAGCACTAATAGTTATACAGTACAGGTAACTCGCATTTTACACGCGTTTGATTTAAGCGTTTTTGGAATAACGCGATCGTTCAATTATTACCGACACGTAATTTACGCGCACCTATTTTTGAAATAATGCGCTCAAGACAGTTTAATTTTGCCGCTCATATTCGCCTGGTCGCCTGACAGTGGAGTCACGTGTGATGCCTGGTGAGGAGCTTGTAAGTTATTACTGTAAAGTCGCAGTCATGTCAACATCAACGATTTTAATATTATTAATAATAATAATTATTATAATAATGTAATAATAAAGATTATTACTGTTAATGGTGAAGATAATGAAGTATTCTGTACAACAACTGTGACGACTTCTGGCAAGCTTCCCACACATCGCTTACTCAGTTCACACCAGCATTACTTTTTCTCTGTGCTCTCATTTGCATTGTGTGTTTATCTCATACCTTTTAGTGTTAAGCGCTGTTTTCCCCATTGAACATGTCTGGAAAACGTCCATCTGCCTCCTCTGGGGAGCCTAAAGATAAAAGCAAAAAACAATGCAATGGACGTGAAATTAAAAGTAATCACCGCCTTCAGAGAGAGGCGTGTGTGGGAGGTTGGCCGTGTGCTTGGTTTAAGTGAGCACTGTTAGATTACCCTGTGGTATGATGGTTCCCCTAACCTGTACCATTTACATGTGTTCTTATGGGAAAATTATGTTTAATTTACGTGTTTTTTAATTAAGCGGTGATTTTCAAGAACGTAACCCCCACATAAAACGAGAGGTGGGTGTACTGGGGTCCATTGCAAATGAAAAAAAAAAGAGGCAACGCATAATGAAAATGTGATTTCACGATTTTTCATCTTTCTCCATTGACTGGTAAATTATTTTGTTTATTTCATGGCTGTTTGGCAGTGCCACATTGGGGGGTGAACACGTTCCTCCAGGTGTGAGCTACCCTCCTATAGTCTCAGAAATTCGCTCGATTACCCTGTACAGTACTCGGAATGGGGAGATTTTCTCGGAATTTCTTGGAATTCTAAAACATTCCAGGTAATGGACAGTTCCAGGACCAAAGATTCCAGCTAATGGAAAAATTACTATATAGTACGGGTACTGTATAAACATTCTTGGGCCCTGCTCAGACACTTGTGCATATATTTCACCAGACAGCTACAGTATTATACGATGACAGTTTTCTCACAAGAAAATATATATATATATATATATATATATATATATATATATATATATATATATATATATATATATATATATATATATATATATATATATACACACACTTCATTTTTAGTCCATATAACAGCGGACTTTGAACATATAATCCAGCGACCTCACCAGCCAGGACTCGAACCCTCGGCCTACTGCTTGGAACCAGAGAGCGTTACCGACCATGCACAGGACACTAAAGCAGTTCTGAACTATTTATATTTCACACAAAGCCTGTTCATCGAGCTGATGGGCGTGTGAAATATAACATGAGGGATTGGTGAGTGAATATATATATATATATATATATATATATATATATATATATATTATATTATATTATATTATAATATATTATATTATATTATATTATATTATATTATATTATATTATATTATATTATATTATATTATATTATATTATATTATATTATATTATATTATATTATATTATATTATATTATATTATATTATATTATATTATATTATTATATTATATATATATATATATATATATATATATATATATATATATATATATATATATATATATATATATATATATATATATATATATATATATATAGCGACCTCTCACCAGCCAGGACTCAAACCCTCGATCCACTGCGTGGGACCAGGGACGTTACCAATGAGGTTCACGGCGCCATCAGCTCGATGAACAGGCTGTGTGAAATATAACAGAGTCTAGAACTGCTTGTGTCCTTGTGGCCTAGCAGTGGCGTTCCCAAGTCCCACCCAGTAGGTCGAGGTTCGATTCCTTTGCTGGTGAGATTAGTTGATTATACAATATATATATATAAAGTATATATATATATATATATATATATATATATATATATATATATATATATATATATATATATATTATATATATTATATATATATATATATATATATATATATATATATATATTATATATATATATATATATATATATATATATATATATATATATATATATATATATATATATATATATATATATATATATATATATATATATATATATATATATATATATATATATATTATATATATATATATATATATATATATATATATATATATATATATATATATATATATATATATATATATATATATATATATATATATATATATATATATACCCATTATATATACAGTACAGGTGTTTAATAATTTTTATTTATTTATATTATTTTTTTCAGATTGGGGCCCTGTTAAACAGCCTTACGTTTGCAGGGGTAGCAGTGATGCTGGTATTTATTGGTACGGCAACAGATTCTGCCAGCCAGCTACATCATTTCGCTAATACTGAACTCCATGGGAGTCACTTAAATGAAGATGATGAATACACTGACTCATGGGAGGAGCAGGTAGAGGGAATTTTGGAGCTAATCAAGGCTCACATTCAGATGGGTAAGAACAAGAATTAAGGATGCCACTTGAAGTGTTGAAACAAGATTTATATACACTGTACGTGAGAAATTTGTGTGTGCTTGCAGTGCAGAAAATAAATTTATTTCACTTTGTTAAATCAGCAGGCCATAAGTTTGCCCCTAGTACAGAAGTGGCAACAATGTATACCTTTCTAATAACAATTGTAATATATACAATAACTAACCAGTCATTACTTTCAGCCAAAAGAACCAGATAAACAAAAGTACAGGGTATGTACTGTATTGGATTGAATTACACTCATTGACAAATTATGATATTAACAAATTATTATATTTTATCATATACTGTGCTGCATAAATTTATAACACCTATTAGTGTTGAAAGGCTATCTCCATGTACAGTATAGGTAAAGATATGATTATTAGGCAGTAGGGTGTAGTGTCAGAGATGGCCATGGGAGTGCTACTGCTGGTCGATCGGGGGATATCTGTACTTCTTATTCCAGTTTCACCATATGGAGGACTGTGAATATTGCAGCTTCCTTCTTCATAATGGCAATGTCACCTGAACATCGATATCAGTGGTTCCATTAACATTTACACTTTATTCCTTCCTAACAAAACAAACAGAACCCCGGCAATTCAGAAGTGTATCTCCTCTTTCCTTATTGTACACAACATCTGGTGCTACACAACAGTAATATGAATGTCATTACATGCCCTAACTTTATGTAAAGAAAACTTAGAGAATAGTAATAAAACGAAATTCTGTGATCATACAGTTAAGAAAGACAAGATTAACCAACAAGAAATTTTTGAGCAGGAAAACTTGATTACTGTACTGTCTTAGATTATTGTATTCTTGCAAACTGTAAGGGGAACATGTAAAAGAATGAGACAACTAATGTAGTGTACAGTACTGTAATTTCACATTGATACAATTGTAGTCAGAAGCTGTTAAGTCAGTTCAACACAGTAGGTATAGTATCCTTAAAAATTTTACTTTAAATTTCAGAAACATACACAGTACAGTACTTATGTGTGATTTATTACTGTGCTGTACAGGCACAGTATACAGCTCCTCCCCGACTTACAACGGGGTTAGGGACCCAAATCCAGGTCATAAGTCGAAATGGTCGTAAGTCGAAAATGCTTAAATAATACATAGAAAATTTAAAATGGGTGTCTCTTTTTCTTCTCAGCACCACAAAACTCTCACTTTTAAGCTTGCCAGCCATTTTAAATGGAATTACAAATTAAAATTTTGTCTGTGTACTGATGTTGGGACTCGAAAATATGTAATTTGACTGAGGCAGGTCAGAAGTGCGGGTGGTCGTAAGTTGAGTAGGTCGTAAGTCGGGGAGGAGCTGTACTAGAATATGTAATCATGATTATAAAACATTTTTATGAATTTTCAGTGCAAATTTTGGTGTACTTGATGCTGGCCATAGCACTAGTTCAAATCGTCACCTCGTCCATGCTGATTCATGGTGTCAAGCATGTAAGTCCATCTTCTGTTATTGTAATTCTGTACTTGTTTCAATCTATAAACATTAACCTTATTTGCAAGTACAGTCAAAGAAAAGAATTGTGTTACACCCCCTAAAATTATGTTCCGAAACCCATGACGAAGAATTTGGGTAAAGTGATAGTGAAGCTTCGAAGTTTGAGTCTGAATGGGGAACTTTACCCAAAAAATTTTGTCATAGGTTCAGAACATAAGGCACAGTAAGTGTAATGCGATTTTTTTCTTTGACTGCACATTTGTAATGTATTTTAATGTTTATAAAATTTAGCAGAGCACATTTATCTTATATTTGCATACTATAGAGAAGATGATACAGATGACACACACAGGGGTAGATCTAGGACTCTTTGGGCACCCCCTAAAGAAAGAAGAACTCGGTACTAAATTCTCTTCTTAAAACATACCATCAATGAGCAAGTGTAAAAGCAATTGTATTGTTTTATTAGATAAGTCTCATTCAAGAAATATCAGAATATGATGTAGATAAAAAATGAATTGGTTGCACCAGTACTCAAAGGGCACCTATGAGAACCATTAGATTTACAAATTTGGAAGAAACACTCAAACCTCACTAATTCAATATGGTTTCATGTAATTTATGAGTTAAATTAGGAATAAATAACTGTTAAAGCCAATACTGTATTAATTAAGCAATATTTTCAAAATTATTTTTCCTAACATACAAATAGTACGTGGGGAGTGGTGCTAACACAAATGGCATTTTTTAATAGTACTTTGAGTAGGGTTTCAAACTCTGCTCTCTTATCAAGGAACGTGTCATTATTCAGTATACGTGACTTTCAAATTGGAATTTGTTCTCGGTGTTGTCTCTGATATTGGTAGTGACTCTGGCCCCCTACCATTATCAGCAGCTGCCTTGGTTATGTCATGGAAAAATACAGACTGTGTTGTGTAAGCCCTAATGAAACATTAATTTTTCACCTAACATACAACTAGTGCATGTAAAGTTATGTTAACACTAGTGATATTTATATACAGTATGTATAAAAATGTACTGCCAGCTATTGCTTTCATCATAAGCCTCGGGAGTACCAAAACCTAAAAATACAGGTATGTTACCACCTTGCTGCTTGGCTAATTGCATCATGGAAAAGTATCGTATGCTAATGTGTTGTGCCAGCACTAATGGTTATGAAGTTATATAATACAACAGTACATTGTAGTGATATCTCCACTAGCTGGAACAATTGGCGCAGAGCAATTCCAGGAATGAGAGATTTCTGATAATGAGAAGACTCTCAATATTCCTGAAATTTTCTTGGAATTTTTCGGAATACTGCATTATTTCATTTCTCAGAGCTGGAAAAATCCCCCATCCCCAGAATTTTTTGGATACCAGAAAAATTTTCTAGGAAATTCCGGGAAATACACCTGATTTTCATCTCTCAAACTCAGAAAAAATATTACTCATCCCCGGAATTTTCCTGGTACCGTGAAAATGTTCTCGGAATTATCCAGAAAATGTGCCCCTAAGAAAATCGTTCACAAAGCTGGTATTTTATGGAAAATTCCAGCTTTGGAAAAGATTTTTCGAGAAAATTTCAATTCTGACTTTTGGAGAGTTCCTTTTAAGAAGGATTCCGGCTGACAGAGATATTACTTAGCAAGTCTCCGTTGAACAAAAGGGTTAGGTTCCACTAAAATGCTTTCTTTAGGTGGATTATGTTTATCAAAACCATTTTTCCCATGTAAATAAATGTAATAAAGGGGACGTGTTCCTGTACTAAGCTCTGTGACAAAATAATTGCAACACCTCATAAAACTGTAGATTGAAACAATAAAACATATAAAACATAAAGGTACAAATCCATGTCAAAAGCAACAGATGCAATGGAAGAGAATCCCATTACGAACATATATATCTCTCGAGGAAAAAGCAGCACCAGGCTTCAAGGCCGCTAAGGGTCGCTATACCTTATTGTTAGGAGGTAATGCCGAAGGTGACTGCAAATTAAAACCAGTGAAGGTGTATCATTCCTCACCCACATGCTCTCGAGGGTTATTCAAAACATCTCTTGCCAGTTAATTACTTTTCAAGTAGCAAGGGGTGGGTGGATTACTGATAATATTTTTTATGACTGTGATGTGTCAAGGCTGAAGGATGAGTTACGTGAATACGTATTGTGAACGAGAGAATCTTTCTTGTAAAATATTAATTCTAGTGGATAACGCCCCTGGACATCCACCTTCAATTCAAGATGTCCGTCTTCCACTGAATATGACATCCCTCATTCAGTCTATGGATAAGGGAGTGATTAGTACATTTAAGGCTTATTCTCTCAACAAAACATTTGATGCTATAATGAAGGCTACTGATATGGTAAAATGACTGTTAAAGAATTCTGAAAATCTTTTAATATTAGAGAGACTAATGTTTGTTGGTGAGGCATGGGACAAAGTTAGTTGTTCGTGTATGAATGAAGTTTGGAAAAAACTGCGTCCGCATCTTGTGCATGACTTAAGAGGTTTTAATATTGAACGTGATCTGTCTAAAACCAGAGAATAAATTGTGAGTTTGGCTAAGAAAGCAGGTCTTGAAGAGGTGGAATTAGAAGACGTGCAGGAGTTATTAGACTCTCATAAAGAGGAACTTTCGCCCCAAGATTTGCTGGACTTTGAAAAAGAGCGGGAAGAAGAGGAAGCAGAGAAGAAAGAGGAGCCTGAGGTCGTTCAAACTAACAGCAAAGTGGTTGACAGAGGTATTCACTTTAATAGAGCGTGCTTTGGCTATTATAGACGAAGACGATATAAATAGTGATTGTAGCTCAAAAGTGAGTAGAAATGTGCATTCAACTTTGCAGTACTACAAAGAAATCCTGTGAGAAAAGAAAATGAAAACCACCCAAAAGATATTGTTCTCATATTTCTATAAATCTGGCAACAACGCATCTCAGCCATTGACTTCTGGCATCTCCAGACCACAGCCTACTGCTAGCTCAACCACTGACTCACCCATACTCTCGCCTCCACCTCTGTAGCCTCCATCCTCAACCCTTCCTTACGCCATCTTGGACAAGCAGAAGTCGGCAGTCGTCAATATAAGTGTTACATAAGAACATAAGATGTAATTTCTATTGTTTTTCCTTTATTAACTGTTTTGTTTTTATTAATGAGTAAGGTAAAAGAATATTTATTGTGACAGTTATATGATTTTTCCTCTGACCTGTACCATTAACATGCATTCTTATGGGAAAAATATTTTTAAATTATGCGTTTTTGAATTATGCGGTAAAACGAGAGGTGGCTGTATACCGGGTCCGAATCTTCGAGGGTTCATTGTAAACGAAAAATACTACCAAATTATACAAAGTGGTACCCTAGTATGCTCATACACAGGGAAACTGCCTGTTTTAGCCTTCTGACCACTTGGACCAAAAACTGTTTAGAGAATTTAAAAAAAATTTTCGCTCACTCAAAAAATTTACAAATTATCCAGTACCCTGTACCTCAAATTAGTGAGGTTCTAGTGTTCTGTAGTACTTGGCTAACTTGAAATATAAAATATGGATGAGTAATACGTGCATTGCTTTTAAGTACTTAAAGCTAGTCAATGGTGTTTTGAATTGATACAAAAATGTTCTATATCATTATTTGTCCAGGCCACTGTTGTAATTTGATACTGTATGTTTCTTTTGCAGAGTCGTCGAGGGTTACTTCTACCTTACCTTGTAATAACTACAATCGGCATCCTGCTTTGTATTATTATGGGGATTGTGATGTTTGCTGTTCTTGGAAATGCATCTATGATCGTCAGCTCAGCTGCCAGCATGCTTGTGGGTGCTGGGTTGCAGGTATACTTCATGCTAGTAGTATTCTCCCAGTACCAGGCTCTTGGACTTATTCGCATGCATGAAGATATGAGCATGAAATAATGTAACAAGAATAAATAACACCAGACAAACATATCTGTTTGTAGCGGACTTTGCTGCTTGTTGCAAAGGATTCTTTCATACTCTATTGATTATCTCATAAGGTAATTACAGTACTGTACAGGTATATCTTAAATCGAAACTGTGACTGAAAAAGAATTGAATACCATCTTTCTCATTAATTATTATCAATGGATTCTACATCTCATATCCTTTACACTTGATATAGTACAATAGCTACTGTATATGTGAAGTATTAAATTAATGTTTTTGTTCATTAATCTCCAATTCCATTTGATGAAAAAACAGAATTTTAGTATCCATGTGATTGAAGTACAGTATAACAGAACTGAATTAGTGTATAAAATGTCATTACTGTATTTGGTACAAAGTAAGCTGAGGTTTCCACCAAGGCTTCTTTGCATTTATGTTGGAAATGTGATCTGAACATTAAAATGAGTATAGTATACAGTATTTTGACTACCTTATTATTTTAGGTATTCTCAGTATACACATGCTAGACAAAATTTAAACATACTGTATTAGGATATTTCCATGTTTACCCACATTTATATCCCAGTATATTGTACTTTGTTTTAATGTGCTCCGCAGTGTGACACTACACCTCTTGTGTGTTGTAGTGTTTGGAAAGATTCTGTATTTAAGATTGAGAAGAAATGTATTGGTTGATATACTGACCACCCCTTGGTGGCTTATATGAAGTAGTTTGACTTAGTATTACTATTTTACTTAGGAAAGAAAGCATATGTTTTAAAATAGCTGGATTATTATTTAGTTTAGTTTATGTAAAGAAAATATTTTATTACTGCACAGATTTTGTAAATGTCATTCTAAATGTTATCCTCTCCAGGGATATAGAAAGTAGACACACCAAGAGATTACAATACATGTTTGGTGTTGATTCATATGTTTTTTCTTACCCTAAAACCTCCGAGCACAGTACACTCAGGTTGGCAGGTTGGAGTGCAAGATGGTCCCACTGATAGCTGGGAATGATCTCCGTGTAAAATCTCCGATGTTCTGAGAGGCCACTTCAACCTTCCTGATGTCAAATTTGACTGGATAGTCAACAGAAATATTATCCTGCCACTTTCTGTATTTTTCATTCTGGAACACAGTTTGAAATGTTTAGAAAACCCGGCTAGCCGCGCCAACACTCATCCCGTCCTTTAACTTGACTAATAATTCAACTTTCTTTGTCAGGGTCATCACTGACTTATGCCTTTTAAGTTTCACTCCATTGGCATCACTAGCACTAACACTAGGCAGTCATTTAAGGGCCATTCTCACACAGAAACAGTAAAGTTTTGAGATTACAACATGAGATGTTGCGTGGAGTGAGTCGTTGTGCTGTGGGAGAGGCTCACAAGCTAGCCACCATCTGCTTACCGCGAATCCTCAAAATCGAGAATCGCACGAGTTTACTGTATTACCATTCACCTAGAAACCTTTATAAATCAATGTATAAACTCCTACACATATTTTATGTACATTATTGTACAGTACTACCTCTTTTCTTCTTTTTTTCGTCTTTTATCCTCTTCGACACTGATTGGCTCGTTAGCCACTTGGGCGGCCAGTCACGTCTCTGTTATGCACTGTTGGCAAGTATCGGGCATGCACTGGCTCCTGAATGTATCTGAACATGCTTCAGTGCTAGTCAAGTCTGGTCTTGAAAGAGTTTATATTTGGTGATGTCATAACACTCTCTGGCAGGTTGTTCCAAGAGTTCACAACTCTCACTCCAAAAAAGTTCGGCCTCACTGTTTTCTGGGCTTGCGGCTTCATTAACCTTGAGCTGTGACGCCTTTTGGGGTGGGTGTCCACTAGCTTCAGGTATGGACACTCGAGTGAGAAGTGCGCCATTTGAGATGCTTACACCGATGGTAATATCAACTAAACAGTGGGCACAAGGCCTCAAAATTGTTTTAGAGCACCTTTTTGGTTTTAGAAATGAGACATAATTATTATACACTGTTATTTGAAGTATACAATATTCATAAAGACATAATATTCAACCTGAAATATGACTCAAATTTATTACTGTACTGTACTCCTGAGTATTGTATCATCAAATGTATGTATAACATAGTGTATACAAGTTAATAAATGTTCATAAGTGTACACACAAATTTCATGGTAAAAACCATAGAAATGGGAATAAACAACTTAAATAAGTGAAACAAACAAGTACAGTAAATACAAAGCAAACAAATAAATGCAACAATAATAAATTATAATCTGTACAAAATCCTAAGTAAATGCTCACACTTATTACATAAAGCTAATTTAATGATAATAGAAGCTGGATAAGGAATGAAGGTTTATCTGCACCAAAAAATTAAAAATAAATTAAACAAAGAAAATTAAACCAAACATTTTTCTAACGAAAAAAAATTCTTGATTATGTACAGCAAGTGCAAATTTGTTTTTATGGCATTTAACATACAATATCTGTGTTTAGAAAGGGGGATTTTCATTTGACAAAACTGCAAAAGAATTTTATATTTATTTTGTCATGGATATATATGCTCTTTAAAATTCAGTTTTGAGTCAAAGTACACCCCAAGATTACGAACAGAATCGACAGGACTGGGTTGTACTTCCTCTGAGTTTAAAGAGCCAAAATCATCTGTGTGGTCTCCCCTCCTATTTCATAGGATGACGATAATCTTGGCTTTGCTGTCGTTCACCTTAAGTTTTCTCCAAGCCATCTTCAATACATGTATTTATTATTTTCACATAAAGCTATTTATCATCAGCATAGAAATGGTAGGCAACACCACGAATATCTAGGAGAGATCCAATACTACTGTAAACAGAAGTGATCCCAATACTGATTCCTATGGGACTCCAAACTGCAAAGGGATCTGGTCTAAAATGGTTCCACCAACCATCACACACTGAGATCTCTATGACAAATATGATTCCAGCAGTGAGTGTGCATTCTCACGGACATCAAACGACCAAAGATCCTGAAGCAACGTATGATGATCCACCATGTCAAAAGCTGCAGAGAGATCCAGCAAGACCAGAAGGGAGGACTTTCCTGTGCAAGTTTTTACGACCAAATCATTATGAATTTTACACATGGCAGTTTCAGTTGGATGATGCTTCCTATAGGGTGACTGGACCAGAGAAATCACTTCATTTTTCTCTAACAGAGGAAGTAACTGATCCAGCATAGGATGCTCTATGATCCTTGATGAGAATGAGAGATTGGAGGCAAGACAATAATTTGACATACTGTACTTATGATTCTACAGATAAAGTCTGCAGCATGTTCATAAGCGAGTGGTACATTAGATTCTGTTATGCTAAGGCATAACTTGGTATTAAAATGTTTGTAAACCGTTCCATGACACATGCTCACAAGGCATTTACAGTACAGTACTCACAAGACAAACCTAACATTACATTTGTTTTCATTTTCATTAATGTTGTGATTATTTGTCTTGTGAGTATATACCTTGTAAGCATTTGTCTTGTGAGCAAATGTTGGCACACCTTGTAACTAGTTTGGATTGTTTTAGATTCCAAGCAGGAGTTATTTTGAGAAGTTTATGGAGATTTTTGTGTATATATTTATGTATTACCCATGTAAGAATTTTCCAGGCATGTCTTGGTCCGACCTCCAGCATCTGAACATCGCTAGAATGCTCTAGGCATCTGACAGGAGGTATATAAGAGGCAGCGGACTGCCTAGCTAGAGTCAATTGTTTCTAAACAGAGTGTGAAGTACAAGCCTAGTTAGAACTAAAGATGATAATTGTTGTGCAACTATTGTAGAATTGTTGCAAATGATATACTGTACAATATATATATATATATATATATATATATATATATATATATATATATATATATATATATATATATATATATATATATATATATATATATATATATATATATATATATATACTGTACAATATATATATATATATATATATATATATATATATATATATATATATATATATATATATATATATATATATATATATATATATATTTATATATACTTCATTAGCCCAATAAAGCACGCAGACTTCTACATATAATCAACACCTCACCCCGCCAGGATTCAAACCCACGATCTTATAATTGTGACCGGGTAACGCTACCTCTGGGCCACCAGGACACTAAAAGCAGTCCTAGACTCTGTTATATTTCACACAAGGCCTGTTCAACGAGCTTATGGCGCCGTGAACCTCAAATGGGGACCACCCGTGTCTCTTAGATGATCAGAGCAACGTTTAACCAAATCCGGCTTCGAAACACGAGGATCCATATATATTTCATAAGCCCAATACGTAATTTGAAAAAATTTTGATACGACTGGGGCAGACGTATGTCCGGGTGGTCGTAAGTCGAGTAGGTCGTAAGTCGAGGAGTGGCTGAGTATATATACTGTATACAGCTACTCCTCGACTTACGACAAATTCGACCTACAACCGCCTCATTCACACCAGTCAAATTACGTATTTTCGGACTGTCATTAAAAAATATGACATTCTACAATCACAATCCAAAGTTTCGACACCCCCCTGGCTGGGTGTTCGCCAAGGCCATGGTTTGATCGCTCCTGCTTTCTTGCATGTAGGGAGAGAGATAGGGTGTATCAAGTTGTGAAACTATCTCCTTCTGTTACCCACTCTCATTCCTTCTAGGAATCATTGTAAGGTTATTCTTCATAGAGCCAAGTGGAATTTTTTAAAAAGAAAGACTGCTGACCTGACTAACTCTTCTTCAAGTAATTCCTTCTGGTCCTGAACCAGAGCAAGATCAAGAAGAAATGTGGGAAGTACCTAAAAAGAAAAAAAAGAAAACAAGAGAAGCAGTGTAATTCACAAGTCTTCGGCTGTGATAACCATAGCAGTTGACGGCCAGGAAATCCAATCAATCAATCAGTGCGAACCGTTCCCATGGTGATAGACCAAGGTCATGCAAAGGCCCCTTTATTGGGACCCCCTTCCCCCTAAAAAAAAAAATGCACAAAATCAACTTGAGCAAAAATCTACTTGCTGGGCTCTGGCAATCCAAAGGAGGGTATCATTTAATTGTAATATCTTGCGGCGACGTATGGATTAATCACACGACCTGGCCTGGTTTGATATCTCAGTAAGTCAATATCCATGGAACCTGGTAAACAGGACCTTGATGGATCAAGAGGATTTAACAACACGGGTGGCTGGTCATTTGGAGTGGGTCGGGCGACAGGTAAAGTCCCAAAGGGGTAGTTATCCCCTGGTGTTGCGAGCTGGTGTGTCCGGAGGGAGCATTTGTGGCTGGGATATGGGCTGCATCTTGGGCTAAAGATCAAGTTGGCCTTCTGGAATAGGGAAAGGAGAATAAAAATAAGTGCTAGGAAGGATAATGGGAGGAGAGGGTTGTAAGGAGCGAGTGACAAGATATTTTCAGGTAAGAGAAGGTCTTCTTCTTTGAAGGCTGGTTTGAGGCAGTTTGCGTTGAAGTTTTCTTCCTCTCACTTGTGTAGGATGGTAAAATACTTTGAACTTCTGATGAGGACATCAAAGAGAACTTCATATACCATGGGGACATATCATTAAGGGTATTGTAGTGGTTAAATATCACCACAACCGGTCCGCCGTCCTCGCCTCTGCCAATCAGCAGCGAGTTCCAGATCACAGTATCTGCCCCCGTCTTGCTCGCAGATTGGTCACCTGCTGTCTTTACCCAGCCAATCAGCTGCGCCGCTCACCTCACACCTCCGACCTTGATCCGGCAGAATCACATAAATACCCCTCTGCCTCGCCGTGAAGGTGGCCAGGAAAACAAGCAAAGACACCACCCCTGGCAGTGATTGTATAACCTATTCATTGCTCAGCAATGCAGGACTTGCTGGTGAACTTGCTCTCCTAACAGTTATCAATGCATCA